TTTCCTGGCAGGGCTCACACCAACATCGTCTGGAGGATTAAATCTTGCTAACTCTTTGTGATTGGCAAGAACTCATAGGATTCACACATCTAGGATTAAGGATGACAACAAGATGTAACATTCCATTTTTTGATACCAGTGTGACAACCAAATCCTTTCAAAAGGAACTCAGTGTCGCTGTCCCACAAGCTCTTCCCGGGGGGGTGGAGGCCCACGTTTCCTCACCACATTCCAGGGGGAAACGGGCTGGCAGAGCATGGAGGAGTGAGACGACCTCGCGACATCCACGCCCCACGGCTTTCCTCAGGGTTACAGGCATCTCTCCGGGTCAGCTGCTCTGATGGCATGCTTCTCTCCGCACACGCGTCAACTTCACCCCTCCCTTTATTCTGCCCTATTGATGCTCAGCGGCTGAAAGAGCAGTTTCAGTTTATGTAATTCTTGCACCATTTATTGAGCACCTATTAGGTACAAGGGACTGTGCTAGGCCCTGGGGAGTAAACAGGGATCAATAATCGAGGTCATCCTCCACAGTTCACACTCCAGTGGGGAGACACACATTAGACCAGCCGGTCTTTATCTCACGCCTCCGGGAGCTTTTAAACAAAGCTGACACTTGGACCCCGTGCCAGACCAGCTGAATCAAAATGTCTGTGTTGGGGAGGGGTCTCGGGAAATTGCTACTTTAAAAAAGTCTCCGGAGGTGATTTTAATCGACGACCAGGGTTTAGAAACACTGTTTTGGACAAGTAACTGAGCCACACTAAGCGGAGCCATTCAGAGTGCAGGGGAGGCAGTAACTAATGATAACTGAGAGGGGACCGAGGAAGACAGGGGAAGATGACCTGAGGTGTGACTCAGGGCTGGGTAGGATCCTGCGAGACAAACAACTGGTGGGGTAGAAGATGCCAGACAAAAGGGACGAGGGAGGTGAGGGTCACCTGTGGGAGGTACGGGAAAGAGTTTCTGTCACTGAAGAATTCTAGGGCCAATCCATGGGAAGATGTTACTGAAATAACTCTGGACCTGTGGAAACAGTGAACCAAGAGAGGTATGTACAGAACGTTCCAGCAGCAGGAGGACAAGAGCGCTCAGCTGGGAAACGAAGCCTGTTAGTAACTCTCACACCCCCACCCTGTGCTCAGTAATCAGTGTTGGCTCCACGTCTGTCACTTGAAGCCTCAGTAACGACTGTTTGGAACTGTCTTTACAGGAAGGCCCCACTTTTTTGCCCCCTCCCCCCTCTTATTTCCCCAAAGTCTTTTTCACTAGGAGTCAAAGAATCCAAGATTCCAGGCTTCCATCCTACTCCCTCCAACGGAAGGCAGAGGGGAGGAGTGGAGAGCAGGTGTTGACCAGTCTGTGCATAGGTGTGGGTGTGCATGGAGCCTGAGTGCCCAGCTGCACACCCACAATTTAGGTTTGGGGGTGTGCACCCTCCCTGTTGCCCCCTCATCCATCACACCAGTGCACCAGGCAAAGCAGCCATACTGTCAGTGGGTCAGGGGTAGGTCCTGAGGACCTGAAGCTGGTTAAGATCATCCCCGTCCCGGTGGACGTTCACTAGTCAGGGACTCGCAATGAGCCCAGGCCTCAGCCGATTCTCTGATGGATTCCACCCTCCTCGTGACTGATTGGCCAGGAATGGGCACAGGACGTGCTGATCCAGTCAGAGTGAAGACTCTCTAAGAGTCTAAGTGTGGGCCCTGCAGTTTCGGGCAGCCATTTCACTCTGAACTTACTGAGACATTGCCAGCACGCTCATTATTGTTTATGTCTGCCTATGGTAGGTTATTTCCAAAGATGACCACTCGCAAGTTCTCCCACCCTTTCATTCAAGGCCCTCCTCCCATCAAGCAGTGAATCTGGTCTGCCTGCTCCTCTTGAGTCTGCGATGGCCTTGGAACCTGCTCTCCCCACCGGCGTGTGGCAGAGTGACTTTCCCGGACTTCCCAGCCCAGGCTCTTAGGGGCCATAGAGTATCCACTTGGACCCTCGTGGGATCCAGCTGCCACGTAAACAGCTCAGGTTAGACCACTAAATGATGAGAAACCGTATGGAGAAAGAGAGGCCACCCTGCTCCTGGCTTTCCACCCACCCCGCTGAGACAGTGGACATGTGACTGAAGCCAGCCGAACCTTCCAGGCCCAGCTGAGCCCCCAAAAGAATGCAGATGCACGAACAATCCCAGCCAACACCAGGGAGAACAGAAGAACCATTCTGCCAGATCACAGGGTCCTGAGAAATAACAATTCATGGTCGTTTAAGATCCCAAGTTTGTGGTGGTTTATTATGCAGAAATAAACACCTGATTCACAGGGTGAGTTGGCGTTTCTGTCACTTTAACAGAGTCTTAACTGATCTGTTTCCATAAGTTTAAAGTTAAGATGCTGTCAGTCACTACCAACAGAAAGTCCAGCTCAGTAAGGATATTTATTCTTTCTCACAACACAAAATTCCAAGTTAGGGCAGTGGCAGGATTGGCTAATGGCCCAATGGTGTCATCAAGGGCCCATACTCTTCCCATCTTTCCATGCTACCATCCCCAATGTGAGGATGTTCCTCAGGCTACCTCCTGTCACGGACACAAAAAGGCTGCAAAGCACCAGACACACAACATCCAGCAGGAAATGAGGAGCTTTGCGAATTTATGTGCCTTTTCAAGAAGGAGGAAACTTTTCCCAAACCATTCCCGAGAATGAACTTTCTTCATTCATGTCTGAGGTGAAAGAGAGTCTTCACTCTGACTGGATCATTGGCTCGAACTTGTTTTAAACCAATCCCGGGAAAAAGGAATGGAGTTACCAAGATTAGCCTACACAAACCAGTTTACCCCTCACCACATCGAGGGTGGACACCTGGACAAAGGTGGGTTTCTGCCAGTGAGGACAGAGAGGGCATGGGTGCTGCCGTGGCAACCACGGTGTCCACTACAACATGAAATTACCCTTTGCCATGGAATAAAACAGACACCCCTGGAAGACATGCAGCCTCTGTCCCGGTGTGACCTCTGCTTGTGTCTTCCATCCAAATGTCATGGTTTGCAAGGTCGAAGGCTAGTCCAAATCTGGCTCTTCAAGTCAGGGCCCCAGCAGGAAGCAGAAGGCATCCCTGGGGGGGAGGTGTGAAAGAGACTGTGATGGAGGGGCCATTTGCTGCAGTGTGGTCATGGTTGGATGACCTGTCAGAGAGCTCTCTTACCCAGGGACCAGCATGAGTGGGAGGTGGACACCACAGCCAGGCCTTAAGTGGCCTGGGGGAGAGGACTGTAGTTCCTGGACCCTGGCATGAGTTGATGCAATGGAAAAGGTCATCACAAACGGACACAGATACCGCGAGGCTCAGGGTGAGGCCAGGCAGAGAAGAGGGACGACATGCCCCAGCCTCTCTCCTGGGTCTCCAGTCTGCAGCTGGTGGCCCTGCTGGGAAAGATTCACAGAGGACCACCACCGGCCTCCTGGACACAGAGCAGGACAGAGAAGGCAGAGAGGAGATTTGGGTGGAAAGCGGAGAGTCAAAGAATTAGTTGACCAAAAACTGGAGCATTTTACTGAAGAAAAGTAGTTCAGAATCCAGATAGTTTAAACACTACTTCCATTCACTAGTACTCATTTCTAGTCGTGTCCAGCCCAAAAAGTGTTCAACACCACTTTTCGTCCACAACCAGCCAGGGCAACATTCACACTCAGCTGCACTCCTCCCAGGGTCAGAGCAGTGCCCGGGAGGCCACTAAAGGTGCTGTCACCCCCCTCCCGCTTCACAAGTGATAAGTCGGAATCAAGTATGTCATTAACGCGAGCCTGACCGTGAAGTTGGCGAAGAGTGTTCACCGTGGGGAAAACAAGCATTCCCTGGGGTTGAAATCGTGGTGTCTGCGCGACGGCACACTTCTCAGCACCAAGTGCGTGCCCGGGAGACCCGGCGCGGCGAGCCCGGGGCTCCCTCCCCCGGCTTGGCCTCCTGGCGGGCGCGCGGGCGGAGCTGGGGGTGGAGGCGGGAGCTGGACCGGCCGGGCCGGGGCTGGCGGCTGGTGTAACAGGTTCAAGGCTGATTCCAACCCCTCACCCCTGCCGAGTCACAGGTGTCTGCCACTGTCCCCACTCTGGAGCCCAGAGGCCCAGGGCTAGGGAGCTGGCGGGGTTTGGAGAGGAGCAAGGACCCCAGGTGGGGGACCCTGTGCTCACTTTGCCCCAGCGCAGAGGGGCTGCGCGACCCCGGGCAGCCCCTGAGGCTCCGCTCCGCCCCGCTCCCCGAAGAGCAGAGGCGCCGCGCGTGGGGGCCGGCCCCCGGGCCCCGCTCCCCGCCCCCGCGATCTCGGGCCGCCATCCGGCCTTCCGGGGAGACAGAAGTTTCCGGCCGGAGCGCTGGGGGCCCGGGACGCCGGCCGACGCTTCGCAAGGCGCACAGCCCCCGGCCCCGGCTCCCCACGTGGGCGCACGGTCGCCTCCCGGGGAGGGCGGCAGAAGCAACAGCGAGCCGCCCCCGCCCCCGCCCCCGCCCGGGGG